TTCTTTGACTTGGAACAGGGCCCACAATCAGCTGCCCAACATCAGGACTACAACCTAGTCTGTTTCCAGAGGGTTGGGTAGTATCCTCACCATCAAAACTGTTTCAATAGTTTGCTTTTAAACTCTTCTGTAGGTGCTCTTTTACTTTGTTCTAGCAGATACTTCTAATACGGAGAGACAAACTAACATTTTAGTCTGGGACTCCCATATGAGATTGGTAAATTGCCAGTTTAGATCTCTTCCCTGAGTGACCCTGCTGAGTATCTCAAAAATAAGTCTCCACTGAGTGAGTGCCCTGATGGCTAGTTATTTTGAGGTCCCTGATTTGCAGTTTTTAATTAAAAAAAAAAAAAAAGTCTTGTTAAGTCTTTTAAAATTATTAAAAATATTCAACAGGGTAAAAATGGGAGGAAAAAGACTACTAATAAGGGAAAACATTTCCTTACCTAATAGTAATAAAGACCCGCAATCCCTCAGGTCTTTCACAAACAGACTGATTACAGATTGGAATTTATTCACATTTGTTGCACAAGCATACCAGCAAAAAAGCTCATGTAAGCAAGTATTTCAAACATATTGTTTATATACTCCATGTCATAACCTGGCTGAGCAAGTCAGGAGGGGAAAAAAAAAATCCTTCTTTCTTTCATATTTTAGTATTTTCTCCATTTATGTGCAAGTTTTTCTTCAGTCCTACCGTTTCTGGAAGTCATATTATTTGAGAGCCAGTTCCTGAACCTTATATAGTCAGTGTTATTCCAGTAAAAAGATACGTCTCTGTGTCTGTGTGTGTAAAACTAGCTGTCTTTTTGTCTACAGAATGAAGACCTAGCTGTATAAAATCACCAGTGGAGGTGATTCTTGTGAGCTGAGGTTCCCAGGTGTTTCAGTGAAGCATCAGGCATGCTCCATTTTAATGTTTCCTTCCTTTTCATTTCATGGTAAAGAGTAGTTATCTCAGAATTCTTTTATACCAGTTTAGATAGCTGTACAACATTTTTGGTGCACAACATAATTACTACGTGTTTTAAAGATTAGTTCAGATTTACCATATTTTAATTGAGGCCTGTATAATAGTTTTACTCATGAAACTCTTCAGGCAATTAGGTAGAGCTGGTAGATTTACCAGTTAATAAAAGATCTGGAAGTAATAAGGCTGGTCTTGCCAAGTGCAGCATCAGACTACAGTTGTTAGCTTTTTGTTTTGTTTGGAGGAATGTAAGAGGTGGTTCTTAATTTAGGAGTAATAGCTGAAGATTGAAAAGAACGCTTCTTTTAAGTGGGAAAAGGTAGCTGGCAGGATTCTTGTGGTACTTACTCTTTCTTGCATGGGAGGGACAATGAACAGCATCTGCAGTTCTCTGGTATTCTCCTGTGCATTTGCATTATGCTTAATTTAGGGTATCCTAGTGAAGCTTGATAACAAAACTGATAGTACTGTGGCAACCATGTGAAGAAATTGTCTGTATTTACATCTGGTGAAAAGGGTTCATCTGAGTGTGAATTGGGATATTTATGCTTTATGCAAATGGCACAAAATATGTTTTGTTCTTCCTGATAATCCTGAGGCTACTTATAATTGCATAGACCTGGCACATGTTTCATGTTCATTGCCTGTGACTAGTTCATAGTACAGTGGTGTTTGGCTGGGTTTTTTTCTTCATGCAAACAGTGTCTGGGTAGACAAAAGCTGTGTTACTTGAAACTTATAAAGCCTAAAGATGGTTTCATGCAGGTGCGATTAATATTTTTTTTAATGGTATCTCCCAGTTATTGAAAAGATCTGCACAGTGTGTGTTTTGAATGTCTGACTAGTCTGATTATTACGTACACACATTTCTGAAAATATTTTTACCACTCAGGCTCATGCACAATAAAGCCTTAGTAATTTCTTTAAATTAAACATTTTGACTATGTGAAGAGTGGTAAAGATGGCAAGAGCAGAAAAACAGAACCTACTGGAAAACTTAAGTCGTCTATCTCTAGCTTTATTGCAAATAAATAAATTGTAGTTTCAGTTATCAACCAGGGTGGATTAGGTCCTGTAGAAAAGATTAATTACTGTAGCGATCTTTAACAAAAGTCAGTGACTTACTGGTATTACTTTGGTTTGTCCCCTTGCTGCAGCTAGGCATGCATGGTCACTGTGCAGTTCCACAACTGGCTGAAGCTAATGTAAGATGTTACTGCTGAAAAGGGGATCCCACTCCTGTTTCCTCATTTTTGTTGTGGGCAGTGGCACTTCTGTCAGTTTTGCTTGCTGGTTCAGCTGGGACTACTTTTTTTTTTACGCTTGATCTTCAGCCAGATAAGCAAAATGAGTTGACTTGTGGTAACGCTGGTGTAAGGATGATGGCAGGGCGATTTGGAGTAGGGATCACCCAAAACCACATTTTTGTATTAGAGATTGGTTTAAGCTGATCATGAAGCTTAGATTGTGTGATTGCATCATAAAGTTGCAGTAAAACAATTGTTTTAAACTGATATAAGTTTCATATAAGGGACAGATCTGACTGTGTACCAATTCTGACACTCATATGGCCATTGATCTGTGAAGGTTGGATTTCAGGCGATAGAGGACCAAAGGAGGGAGGGCAGGACCGTTCTTCTTGTGGTGCTGTGGTGGTATGCCAGATGAAAGTGTAATCGTGGGTGAAGACAGTTTCAGGTGTGTGTTGAAAACTGGGAGGGAGGTGACTTGTCTTTTACAAAAGTTCCAGTGATGTTATGGATGGCCAGACATCTTGCTGTTTGGTCTGTGTTACTTATGATTGCCTCATCCTATAATAAAGGGAAGGGTATGTTTTGGATATTGAACAAATATTTAGGACTTTTTTTTTTACTGAGCGGTCAAGCATTGGAACAAGCTGCCCAGGGAACTGGTGGAGTCACCATCACTGGAAGTGTTCAAAAGACGTGTGGATGTGGCACTCCGGGACATGGTTTAGGGGTCATGGTGGTGTTGGGTTGATGGTTGGACTTGATGATCTTAAAGGTCTTCTCCAACCTTAATGATTCTGTGATTCTGTGACTTGCCATGTCTGTACCTTGGGCAGAGGATGCCCATAAATGCACGTACATCTTGCATTGTCTCCTGTCAGGATTGTGTTTGTCATGTTTACAGAAATATTTCAGTAAATGAGAATGTATTTTGGTGAGCTCTGGAAGGGCTTTTTGAAGCAGTTTAAAATTACACTGTCAGTGGTTTACTTTGGTTGTCAGAGTGTTGTCAGATCTATACCTTTCCAGATGCAATCTAAGCCCACCAGTCTTTGTGGATTTTAGCATGGTGGTGATACTAGTATGTCTAAGAAGTGGGTGCTTGATTCCTTGGTTGTGCTGTGGGAGGTGTTAGTACAGCAGAGGAGCAAAAAGAAGAGCAGAGTGGTAACTTAAACCCTCACAGAACAGCTTGCTGGAGGTGGTCCTTTAATGTTGCACAGTCACTTGTGGTATCAATTACATTGTGTAAAGAAATATTTTTGAGATTTCTGAATTTTATTATAGTGCATTTCAGTTGCATTTCAGTAGCATTCTGCAAATCAGCAAGGTCAATTCTTCATTATTGATTATATCTTTGGAATGATTTTATCGTTAATAGTAGCTTGTGGCTGCCTTCTGGAGAATGGACTGAAGGATGATATGACAAGAATTAAACATGACATCATAATGAATCGTGGCACGTACTGCTGCCAACTGAGCTTACAGTTGTGGCAAGTGTATTAAGTCTAGAGCAACAAACATTTGTTTTTCAAAACAAGCTAGGACTCAGATTGCTAAAAACACATTCTTTCACAGCCAATTCCAAAAATAATCTGTTCACTGATGTTTCAGTACGGCACTTTCAAATTTTTGCTTTAATATTCAGCTCTACAGGTTAGAGTTTTCCAGGGGGTGACTTGATTTTTCAAGCTTGTATGCTTTCCATATGATAGATCGCTCAAGGCCCACAGTTACTGAAAAGATTAAAGGTAATATTAAGCATTCTGTTCTTAAACATGGATTTCACATTGAAACATAGATTTTTTTTTTTTTTTTTTTTTTTTTTTTTTTTTTTGCTTTAGCTTTCAGTTGTTTTATCTCTCGGCAGGTTTCTTCACTGTCTATCCAACAAGTTTTTCTTGTTTTGCTCACTAACTATAGGAAAGGAAATAGTCTGTTTAAAAACAAACTAACTATGTTTTATTTGTTAGTATATTAAAAGCTTTCCTTTAATTTGCATGTGAAATAACAAAATACAGAACACAAAAACTTTCTATTTTTTCCCCCCCCATATTAAAAGCTTTAGTCTTAAGAAATTTTTATGCAGACTGCAAGAGAATTTTCTCTTAAATAAACATAATTGCCTGAAAAGCAAACAGGAAAATACAAAACCTTCTTTCTTTGAAGCCAATGTCAAAACTTTGAACTTCACTAGAATTAATATTTACAAGATGAAATTCTAAGAGAATCTGTGCTAAAAAAAAAAAAAAGGCAAAATGCTTTTGGAGTATTTCCATTTTTGGAAGGAGAAGAGAACTACATTTTGGAACTAATGAAGTAAAACATCATAAACTCTAAGTAGAAAGGAGAAGACTTAAAATTTGCCCTAAATTATAACGATGAGAACAATTAAAACTTCATGAATCCAAAGCAGGAGTCTGCAGAAAGGTGTCTAGAGAAGCATTTAAAACAAGCTCTTTTATTTGCTAGAAAGGCAAATATTGTGCCTAAAATAAAATAGCTCTTGCTGTCTTCAGTGAAAGGCAAAATATCAGGATCCTATATAACTTCTAGTGACAAAACACGAACCAAGTTGTTTTTCTTACTTTTCATGGCCTTTGTTCAATGTATAGCAGTAAATGATTGTATCTGTTACAACTTTTACAAACCAATAACTTGGTTTTCTGTGCTCTTAGAGTTGGTAGTGATTACTGGTTTAGTAATATTCAAGCAATCTTAAAGACCTAAAAAGTTCTAGAGTTCTTTCTTATATTCCATTATATACTTTTCTTTTTCAGCTCAGAAGATAAAATAACTGTTCATTTCATAAATCGTGATGGTGACAAACTAACAGCCAAAGGAAAACCTGGAGATTCACTGCTGGATGTTGTTGTTGATAATAATCTAGACATAGATGGTTTTGGTAAGTAGATTTACTGAATACTGTATTCAGTGTCTAGAAATTATGCTCTGTTACCAGTTTATTCAGAACTATTTATAGAATCAGAGAATCATTTAGGTTGGAAAAGACCCTTAAGATAGAGTCCAACCATTAATGAATATTTATTTATTAATTTATTTGTAAAACCTATCTGTAGTTTATTTGGATTTTGTGCCCTTTTTTTTTTTCCTGTAGAAAAATAGAATATTTGGGGTCAAGTTCTAAAAATATATTTGGGGTAAGCCTTGCTTGAATGTTAAAGGACGTGAATGTGGACAGAGTGCTGTCAAGGTGGAATCTGAAAGATCATAGAATAGTTTGGTTTGGTCTGGAAGGGATCTTTTAAAGGTCATCTAATCCACCCCCCCCTGCAATAAGCAGGGATACCTTCAACTAGAGCAGGGCACTCAGAGCCCCATCCAAACTGGCCTTGAATGTTCCCAGGATGGGACATCTACCACCTCTCTGGGCAACCTGTGCCAGTGTGTCACCACCCTCATTGTCAAAAATTTCTTCCTTATCTAGTCTAAATCTACCCTCTTTTAGTTTAAAACCATTACCCCTTGGCCTATTGCTACAGGCCCTGCTAAAAAGTCTGTCCTCATCCTTCTTATAAGCTCCCTTGAAGTACTGGAAGACTGCAGTAAGGTCTCCCCAGAGCCTTCTCTTTTCCAGGCTGAACAACCTCAACTCTCTCAGTCTGTCCTCATAGAAGTGCTCTGTCCCTCAGCTCATTTCTGTGGCCCTCCTCTGGACCTACTCCAACAGCTCCATGTCTTTCCTGTGCTGAGGGCTCCACAGCTGGGCACAGTGCTGCAGGTGGGGTCTCCCCAGAGCAGAGTAGAGGGGCAGAATCACCTTCCTTGACCTGCTGGCCACGTTGCTTTGGATGCAGCCCAGGATATGGTTGGCCTTCAAAATAGGAGGAAGTTATAACACCTCCCTATTCCTTCAAACTTTTGCACTTTCCATAGCTAGTTCCATTGAAGTTGTACGATTCTGCCCATGCAAAGCAGCGGTATTTGGTAATGGCAATTAAATACCTCAGGACAGGTATTTACATGAACATGAGCTTAAGAATTAAGAGCGCAAACTAAAATAGGAAGCAGAAGTACAATTTGCATGAGGAAATGCATAGCACGGAGCAATCAGGAAAAAATAAGTAGGCTAGTGTAGCACAGTTGGAAATCTGAGGTGTGTTTTATTTAAGTGCAAATAAATTTCACTGGTAGTAATAAAATCTTTAAGTCATTAAATCTGAGTTATGTCTAAGACAACTCATATGTCTAGAGTTGCATACATCTGGGGAAGAAGAACTGTCTTTTAAAAATCTGTAATGCTTTGGGATAACTAGCTTTATGTATCACCTATTAAATGTGCCATGTAGGCCATGACTAGTCTGCTTGTATTTTACACAAACTGAGAGAATATTTACTGTAGATATCGGCTGTGTTAAAGCATTGTAGTAAAGTGGGAGGGGAAAAAAATGATAATGCTATCAATAAACAGAAGCCTAACTAAGAATTGGAGATACTGTAACAATCTTTAATTATAACATGTCAGTCATGTTTCAATAATCATTTGCTAATGAAACATCATACTAGGGCAGAGAAATAATGTGGTATAAATGTAAAAGTGTGTGTTCTGTGTTTAGAAAAAAAAAATGAAGGAAAAAATGTAAAATGTAAATCTTATCTGTTACTTCTATCACTAGGGGGCATCCCATGTGCAATAATAATAATAGAAATATCTTTGTATAAAGACTTACAAAACTGTTGAATGATTCAGCTGCACTCAATTTATTTGTTACTGCTAGCTTTGCAGTTGCAGAAAGACCTTCCACTGTTCAAATAGACTGGTCAATGTTCTTTCTTACTTTTTTTTTCCTCCTACTTCCCTTACCTCCCCAACAATAAAACGCTTAAACTTCTGATACAACAAATTTTACATTATTTGGCATTTTATTTAAATTCTACTTTTTCACATGCATTTTTATGTACTTGAAGACTTGATATATTTTAAAAATCAAGTCTCCTAGTACAGTGTCATGCTCACTCTGAATATATGCTGGTGATACCCTTACTACATATAACAGCATAGTGCTTTCTGTATGGTTCTTGTGGTCTGATGATGAATCCCACTGCTTCTTTTCATAGCAAGACTGCATGTATAACCACTGCTTACCTTTGTTTCCATATGAGTACAAAGGTGACGTGGTCACAATACTCTTGGTCCTGCTTTCCCTGGAAATGAGTGAATAAATGAGGCTTGGCTTATTGTGTTACCTGCTTCTCTCTTATCAATTTAAATCAGAGGTGGGGATTTGTGTCCCCCAACCCCAATCTCCACACAAGTATGAGGAGTTCAGCTTTCTCCTCCTCTTGAAGTTGCGTGTTTCTTTTTCAACAAAGTGGAGAACTCTGTTCCAGCCCTATACAGTGGCAGAGACAAATTTGTTAGTGTTTGAACTTTTACTGTCCTGGGATGACCTGATTGGTCTAGCAGGTAGATGTACCTGATGCTTGTTCTGTTCAACCCTGACAAACTTTTAGATTCTTGGCTCAGGCTGAATTGCCTAGTAATACATGTAGGCCTCTAACACAGAAAAAAACATTTCTCTCTAGCCTGACTACCTTTATTGTGAACTAGTGTTCAGTTGAGTGAGAAGAAATACCAAGTATAAAACCCCTTCTTCTTGTACTTCTGAGGATTTTTTTGTATAGCAGGTGTCTTCTGTTGAACTTCTTGAGGAAACCTTCTCAAAACCATGGAAAAGAGAGGGATAGAAGGATCAACCTTGGAAGTAAATTAAGTAGTGCTAAGTGACAGTGTTGTCTGCTTTTGCATTCTTATAGTAGAAACATTTTCTCTTTTTAAATGGTAGAAAGGGAATTAGTTAAGTATTTTAACTAACTACAGCATTCAAGTAAATCTTAATGTATTGTACTATTGGCAGTTGAATGCAGAGTGGATATATGAATGCAGGAGTATATGAAACATTAATTTTACTAATCAGCAGATACTTCTTGTTTGAGATAAATACTTACATATGAAGGATTTCTTCTGAAATTCTGCTGTAATTTGAAACTTGTATTTTCTGGTTTTCTTTAGGTGCATGTGAAGGAACACTAGCCTGTTCAACTTGTCATTTGATCTTTGAAGAACACGTATATGAGAAACTAGATGCAATTACTGATGAAGAGATGGACATGCTGGACCTGGCATATGGCCTCACAGAAACGTAAGGCAACATAACACTGCTACATGCAAGAACAGAAAGAAGGGTTTGCAGATGGGGCAGTCCAGTATTCTTAGAATGCCTTAATCAGCTTTTAATGAATAGCTGGATTCTGTTACACAAATGAGACTGCCAAGTTTAAATATTTATCTGAATTCATATTAAAAAAAGTCAGTACTGTTTTTGTAACTGAAGAGTGGCAGTTGCCAGTACTTGCTCTTCAGAGGTGTCTGATGCAGAAGTGTCAAATACCAAAGTATGACCCAGCTCCTTCAACAAAAACTTTGCTGCTGCTGTCATGCGTGTGAATTTTCTTGGTTTTGTTTTCCTTCCCTTCTGTTCTGTCTCCATTAGTCTGTAGCTAGTTAATGTATTTTATGAACATGTTTACGTTAGTATTTTAGGTTTGGTCAGATCTTCTTTTCACAGAAGGGTTGTGGTTGGAGGGGACCTCTTGAGGTCATTTGGTCCAACCCCATGCTCAAGCAGGGCCACCTAGAACTGATGCCCAGGACCTTGTCCAGACAGCTTTTGAATATCGCCAAGGATGGAGACTCCACAACCTCTCTGGTATTTATGTACATTGATAAAATCAAGCCTTCTTTAGGATAAACAATGTCCCACATGGCAGTGTCCCCACTTGTCATGCTTTGACTCAACATCAGAGTGCTCTTGGTGCACACAAGCCAGGTTCCCTTTTGGGTGAAACTAATCCTGAAACATGCTCTAACTTCTAATGGGCATTTCAGTGCATAGCATTAGACTAGCAGTAGTCTCAAGTAACTTCCTGTTCTACATCTCCCACCCATCACACGTCTTGTAATTAGGATGTTACATCCTTATTACAGACCCATTTCTAGTGGGCTGCACTACTTGCTGGTGTACACATGGCCTGTATCATAGAACATACCCGCATGAACAGTATGCAGCTATGCCGTACAAGGTTTCATAAGCCCTTTCCTTCATGCTTCCATGGAACTGCTTGTTGAAGTTTTTAAGAATCTTTCCAGTGATGTCAGAGGGCTTTATACCTGGCCTGTATAACATAGGATTTTTATGTTTTTGCAAAGTAGTACTCTGAATTAACTCATTTATCTCCTTACATGAGTAATGGGAATCTTGTACTAATCGTTTCTACGAGAAAGAGTACACTTTCTCTCACTTCAGACAAGTCTTAACTTTTCTGGGGGTTGTGAAGGCAAAGTAGTCAAGCCGTGAGAAATTTGTTTCAGTTTCTTTTGTTTTATAATTTTTCCTGTCTCCCCAAAAACACTTTCAAATTTGAAAAAATCATAAGCCTATTAAGTGTGAATTCACTTCACTCCTACCATCTACCATAATTCTCCTAAGAGTAACTTTTAGATTCTGGACCAAACCAATTCCTAAATAGCTCTGGAGGCCAATGATCTAATAAACTTTTTTCTTTGGTTATCTCTTGCTTAAAGATTTAAAGCAAGGGATCTTTACTGAAGAACTGAAAAACAGTAGAAAACCAGAGATCTCTGTTTAAATGTTTTTATTTTCTCTCAAAGTTCTTCAGACCAATTAAGTTTTAGACCCTCTGAAGACGCTTGTTACTTCTAACATTATGTGTTTTTCCCTGTGGCCAGGGATCTTTCATATGTGAGAGGAGGACTTTTCTGGAAGACCAGAGCTTTAAGTGACTGATATTTGCTATAGGTTACCTGGTCTCCTGGGCTGATATAAACTTGTGTAATGGAGATGCATTGCTATGCTCTGTCATAAGAATAAAGATAAAAGCTTTTTCTTGTCAGTGACATTTCTGTATTTGGGAAAGTTTCAGCTAGCAGCCACCATGAAAGCTTATGGTTTTTAAAATAAGGACTAATTAGGAAGGTTAAAATGAAATTGTTTTGATTAACTGCAGAACAGTAGAGATTGTTAAAAGTAGTAAGATAGGGAGGGATGCAGACCCCGCAAGTTAAATGTTTAAAAGAGAATACTGAAGGAAAAAAAAGCTGAGAAACAGCTTGCTAGAAAGTAGAAAAATATTTCCATTTCTAACCTATCAGAAGCAGGAAACTTGTCTGCATGAAGAGCCAATGGGCGATGTATAAATTATAAAAAGATAACATAAAAGCAAAGTTTCTTTTGCCTTGCTGTCTCTAGAGATGTTACGGGATGTCCATGCACTGGAAGATACTGGAGTATCTGTCTCAAACTGATGTGTCCATAGAAGTAGTGTTACAGCAAATAAGTAAAATGAGTAGTAACAAATGGTAATGACTAGGTAGCATTCACCCAGGAGTTCTACAGGAATTCAATATGACATTTCTGAACTACTGTCTGTAAGGCTTAATTAGTGGGTTTAAAACTGCTTCCACATCAAAGGAGTGGAAGGGAGGAACCC